CACTGACACCCAGCTCTTCCTCTGCTCCCTCTTCGCCCCCGTCTGCCTCGACCGGCCCGTCTACCCCTGCCGCTCCCTCTGCGAGGTGGTGCGCGACTCCTGCGCCCCCGTCATGGAGTCCTACGGCTTCCCCTGGCCCGAGATGCTGCACTGTGGCAAGTTCCCCTCCGACCACGAGCTCTGCATCGCCGTCCAGTTCGGGAACAGCAAGGCCACCCCACCGCCAGGTAAGCGGGAAGGGCACTGCGATGGGATGGGGGCGCATGCGGGGCACCTGCCAGCAGCGTGTCCCCATGCAGCCGGGGACCCGCATGCAGGGTCCCCCTGCAGAGAGCCCGCACCCCCGCCTCTGCACCCCCCGAAGTGGGGCCTGGGGCGCTGGCGCTGGCCAAGGACCCTCTGTCTGCAGCAAGGGCACGAGTGGGCACAGTACCAGCGGTATCAGCTGCTTTGGCTTGGCACCCCCCTGCTGTCCGGGGAGCCAGGCACCCTGCCCCCAGGGGAGCCAGGCACTCAGCTGCCTGTGCAGAGCTGTCCAGGGCAGGGGAGAGCAGAGCAGCCATGGGAGCAGTATTGGGGGTGAGCATGGGACAAGATGGGAGCTGCTGGGGGATCCGTGGCAGAGCTGTATCCCTTGCCTCCCATCCCAGCAGCAAAGAGCATTCTGCTTCTGTGGGTATTGGCCCCATGCTGCTGTGGCAGAGTGGCTGTCCCCTCAGGCAGGGGACATCACCCAAAGGCAGCCCAGGGTCTGGATCCAGGCTGTGACACCCTTCAGGCTGGGGCCACCCTTGCTGCTGCTCCTGTGTCCCAAAGCACTGGCAGCTGGATGAGGGGTGTCCCCATACCCCATCTCTTTGGGGGGGGGCATGCTGATCCACCGGCCAGCGAGGTGCTCTGTGCTTCCTGCATCACTCTGGCATAGCTGCCCAAGGAGCAGGGGGGCTGCTGGGGCTCTTCCAGCACACCCCCGCAGAGCTGGCCCCGGTGACAGGCACCAGCAGCAGGGGGCTGTGACGGTGGCTGGTCTCTCACTGCAGTGTCCAAGATCTGCACCCAGTGCGAGATGGAGCACAAGGCGGATGGCATGATGGAGCAGATGTGCTCCAGTGACTTCGGTGAGTGCTGGGTCCCCTTCCCTGTCCCCCCTGGGCACAGGGGCCCTCCCCTAGCCCTGACAGCCCAGATGGGGCTTGGCTGGCAGGCATGGTTTTCCAGGGACAGCCCCATGGGAGACCCCCCCCTCCAAGCCGTTCCCCTGGACTCTGTGTGCATGGGATGGGTACACCACAGGAGAAGAAATCAGGGGGAGACAGGCAGAATGGGACATTTGGGATGGTCACTGGGGGCCTCTGCTGAACAACCCCGCCCCAACATCTCCATCCCCCTCCTCACCTAGTAATTTCCCCAGAGACCCTTCTTCTGGGTCCCACCCCAGGGATGGGCTGCACCCTTGTACTGCACAGGTGCCTAGCCCCAGACACCCCCCCAGCAGTGCCCCAGGGCAGTGTCCTCCTCCCAACCATGCCCCATGGCTGCCCCACACAGTGGTGAAGATGCGCATCAAGGAGATAACGGAGGAGAACGGGGAGCGGCGGCTGGTGGCCGCCCAGAAGAAGAAGGTGCTGAAGCTGGGCCCGCTCAAGCGCAAGGACACCAAGAAGATGGTGCTGCACATGAGGAATGCGGGTGCCTGCCCCTGCCCCCAGCTCGACAGCCTCAGCGGCAGGCTCCCGGGGGGGGGGCG